ACTACTAGAAAAATAAGAAAAGAGTATATTTCTAGATTAGGTTAAATGGAGTCAAAGTGCCCAAGTAACCTACCCTAGAAACAATATACAATAGCTAATAAAAGGAAATAAAGTGCCTCACAAATACAAAGGTAAAAATACACCTATACAAGTATCTACTATATACAAAGTACAAGAAAACAAACTATATAATGTATGTACAATGGAGACTCAAGAGGCTAATAAGAGGAATCATACTCAATACTCATATTGAGCATAGGTCTAAGAAGCACCTCCTCTGTAGAAGCCTCCTCTAGCCTCCTAACCATGGACCTAGTTAAAGGCCCAATGGTCTTCATGTGTTAGCCTCCTTGGATCAACCTTCACCCTTCTTGGTCTTACCTCTTCCAAAGGGATCCTTGGGGATTAGATTTCCATCAGATTGAGTCTATGCATTGGAGATTGCCATCTAAGGCAAGAAGGGGTGTGAAATTGTCTCACTGTGTAGGGGCCTATGAGGATTATGGGTAGTGAAGCGAACCTTAAGCCTTTGTAGGATTATTAAATGTGTGTTTGATAAGATTGACATTGCTTTGGTTTGATTACTATTCTATAAGTGCAGATGTTATAACACTCCATTTTTCATAAAAATATAATATAAGTATTTAAAATATATTTTTGGTATTTTTGTTTTAATTAATAGAGTTTTTAAATATTTATTTTACTTGTTTTAAATATTTTGGGATATAATATAAGGAGTTTTAATTAAAGGTTTTAATTAAATGCTTTATTTAATTAAATAAGAGGGAGGGGATTTGTAACTATGGTTAATATGTTTTAACTAGAAGGTTATAGAGGAATTAATATTTTAAAAGTTCTGAACAATTTTCCTTTTACACTCCTTCATTTATCGTTTTTCACAAACACACTTCATTTTACATTCAAAGCTTAGAGAATAGGAACAAGAAGGAAACCAGCCCGAGACTATGCATCCATCTTCTTCTACTTACCAAGGTAAGGAAATAGTGAGAAATCTCCCTCTAGGTATGAGATTGTATGCTGGGTAGTAGGATTGGTCTTTAATCTCGTCTTTATTGTATGTGTAAGTATGAGGTGTTTTTCCCAAATGTGTTTTACCCAAATGTGTCTATCTTATTTGTTTCTCCTTGTATGTTCTATTTAATGTAAATTGTATGTGTTGGTAATTTTTGAAAACGGGCTTGAAATTGTATGTTTTGGTGTTCTTGTGGGTTCTTATGAGAACCCTAAATGATATTGTGTGAGTAGTTAATAAGAGTATGTAATTAGAATGTGAAATTTAGGTTGGATTAGAGTAATTAATAGTATAATAGGATAATATTAAGCTTTAATCATGATTTTATCGATTGGTTTGGAGATTTTGGGTTTTGGGTTCATCATGTGCGATTTTTGCACTTCACTGGAGTGAATTTCACCCCAAGGCAGTAAGTGGCACACCTATACACTTCATTGCATGCCCGTACGATTGATGTTGAGAAGTCTCATGCTGAATTGCAACTGGCACGGACATGTATCCACTAGCACACTCATGCAAACATCTCAAATCACTAGTGCAAATAGAGGCTTTTACGTCACCTAAATGACGTCGGAAAACGGCACCACCGACGTTATAAAAATGCGGTGGCATGCACCGTAATTTTAGTAGATTATTTACGTCGGTCTTAATTGGGTCCGACGTAAATTTTAACATCTACATCGGCTAAGCATTGTGTCCGACGTAGATGTTAAAATTTACGTCGGACCCAATTTGGGCCGACGTAAATAAGCTGTTAAATGGTGCCCGCGCTCAACGTAAGTTTCAAAATTCCCATTAGCTAAATTTCAAAATTTCATCCCGCGCCTCCTTCTTCTAGTTTTGCTTCTCCCACGCTTCCTCCTTCTTCTTCTTTTTTTCTTCTTTCTCCCGCGCCTCCTACTTCTTCTATGAGGTACCATCTTCAAGTTTGTGTTTTTCTGTTTCTGGGCTTTTCTATGAGGTTCTATGACGTAAATGATGTTTTTTTCATCTGTTTGTTTCGAGTTTTTGAAGCTGGAGAAGGAGAAAGAAGTGACCAAGTCTACCTGAGAACGCGCTCCTGGGTCACTCAAGCAGAACGGGACGTTCTCTAAGCAATACGGCCCGTTCTGCTTGGAGAACGGGTCGTTCTCCAAGCAGAACGGGCCGTTCTGCTGCACTTAATTTCTTTTTTTTTTAAATTTTTTATGACTTTTTACGTCGGACCTTCGCATGTCCGACGTAAATTTACGTCAGTTTTCGCGCTCCGGCGTAAATTTACGTCTCTCGCTTCTACGTCGGACGTTTTTCTGACGTAAAAACCCCTAAACTAACCGACGTAAAATGTGTATTATGTACTAGTGAATGATCGAATTAGCCTTTGGTGTCTTAATAAGAGTTGTAGCCTTATATGTTAGCCTTCAAATTCCATTAGATGCACCTAGAAAGGAGGTCTATAACTCAAGTTATGATTAAATTAGTGAGCAAAGGTTAGGTTGTCATATATGAAGTTGAAATGCTATGATTTTGTATTTTTTAAAAATGGTAAATGGAAGAATTAGTTTTTGAGGCCAACATAAAATATGGATATAATTATCTGATCTTTCTAATAAAATTATAATCAACTTGATAGTATATATATCTCTAAATAAGGTTTTTGCACAACACGCTGTCTTAGAAGATTAAGTTTTGGAAATGTAGTTTGTGAATGGTGATGATGAATAACTCTATCATTTAAGTATTTGATCTTATGGATGGATTGAGGCATATGATTATGATTGGATGGTTTTATAATGATTCTATCTTGAGGTGTATCGGATGATGTTGTGTAATTGTTGTATTTAAATGCAAACATGTGTAATTAATATTGATAGCTAGTTGTGGTATTTCAATATGCTATTGATATGATTGTGAGCTATGTATAAGTTGTAGTGATGTGATGCCATTTTTTTTGCTAATATTTAGTTTATATAGTTGAATTTTTAATTTTTATATTGAGAACATTTGATGATCATATGATATGAGATTAGTCGATAATGAAATGATGTGATAATGTGATATTATAAGACATGTGATTTATGAATTAATGAGATCATGTGAATTGTTATGCGTAGAGTCTATTGACATGTATCATGTGCATAAAATTGTTTTTAAGGGTATGATATGGAATACACTACCAAGGAAGGCCCCTTCGTGTAAAACTTTAGGGATCGGTCCTTGGAGATAGCACTGTATCTTGCACGACTTAGCTATCCCGACCAAATGTTGTAGTATGTCTTCCTAGTGAGAGTATGTAGAGAGTATGACCCGACATGTACCCTTAAGCTACTCTAGTGTATTGCTAGCAGCAACGCACAAGTGTGACATGTGATATTTTTACTGATGTCGTATGCATAATAATATGTAGTCCATGTCCATTGCATATGCATCTTAATGTTATGTGCTATGTAATTATTATTTCATGAAAGAGTGAAATATGTTATTGTTACCAATCTATTCATGTTGTGTATATATATATGTCTTGTTTGTGTTTGGCTATTTGGTGGCACTCCTGCATCGTGAGCCAAAGTGAAATGTTTGACACTCCCTTATTTTGTTTGTTGTTGTTCTTATGTTTTCTATAGATGATCATCAACATAGTATTGAAGATGTTGGTGATGAGACTTAGGCTTTATGTTGGGTTGCTATGATAGGACATGTGACATCGAGGCGTAGTTAAGACTAGTTTAGGAGTTTACTTCATGTTATTAAACTTGGGAGTTATGGTTTTAATTCTTTGTAATTTTGTTACTTCCATTAAGTTTAGTTGTGTTAACAATGTGATTCACTCTACTTGTGTGGGTTTTAAGTTCATTTATTTTACATAAGGTATTTCAATTTCATATTATATATGTGTTATGGTATGCAAGGTAGATGGTGTAACATTTAGTGGTATCAAAGCCAAATTGATTCAAAATGGACTTATGTGTTATGTGTTGTGACTACATGTTATGTGTATACTCTAATTTGTGATTTAATTTGTGTTGTAGTATACTTGTTTTCCTTGATTCTTTTGTTACTTGTTTGTTTTGATACTACTTGTTTATGAAAAAAGTAGTGGTTTTGGGTGGTATCATTAGTGTTTCTAGCTTAGGTGTGAGTAACAATGGATGACGCTTCATGCTAATCAACTAAAAACTGCTAAAAAAACTTTCTTCATGTGATGTGGAACCTTTTTAGTTGTACATTTGATTTTTGTGCAACTTATTCCTTCATTTTATCAATTTGTTTTTAAAAAGTCAATTACTTGACATCTTCTAATTCATCATCTTTATGAAACTCCAACTGGTAGTATTGTTTATATTTTTATTTCCTATTTATAATGTCCTTTACAAGTTCTTGTTGAAATTCAAGTTGATTTGGTTTGTTTGCCTCTTAGTCAACTAGACACTATTCTTAGGTGGATTGGTTATCTTCAAATCATGTGTTATTAAAACTACTTTAAAAAATCCATCTTTTTTGGTGAAAGTAAGAGTGCGAAAATTATGTTCGCCAACTAGATTAAAACATGTTTGAAAGAAAATGAAAGGGTATACATTATTCTTGCCTATTTAAAGCTTGAGAAGAAAAATAAATTGAGTGAGATCCCTATAGTAAGAGAATTCCCTAAGGTTTTTTTGGTAGATATGTCTAGCTTACCACTTAGGAGAGAGACTAAGTTTGCCATAAAATTAGTACTTGGTATGGCACCTATATCTATAGCACCTTATTGGATGTTCCCTAAGGAACTAGTCGAGCTTAAGAAACAAATAGAAAAGCTTCAGGAAAAAAAATCATTAGGCTGAGTGTATCACCCTAGGGAGTGCTTATGTTGTTAGTAAAGAAAAAAGATGGGAAGATGAGGTTGTGTGTAAACTATTATCAGCTTAACAAGGTTACAATTAAGAATAAATATCATTTTCCTAGGATAAATAACATTATGGACTAGTTAGTTGGGGCTTCTATGTGTTCAGTAAGATAGACTTGAGATCAGGTTACCACTAGATTCAGGTGAAGACTGAGGATATTCCAAAGATTGCTTTAAAACTTGTTATGGGCACCATGAGTATTTAGTTATGTCTTGTGGTGTGACTAATGCACCCGAAGTATTCATTGATTACATGAATAGGATATTTCACCCAAACCTTGATAGATTTGTAGTAGTCTTCATAGATGACATCCTCATAGGGAAGAACATATTGAGCATCTTAAGATAATGTTGCAAAACCTTAAGGATAGGAATCTTTATACTAAGTTGTCTAAGTGTGAGTTTTGACTAAGTACTGTTAGCTTTTTAAGACATTTAATCTTTGAGGGAGGGATAACTGTAGATACTTCTAAGGTAGAAGTTGTACTCGAGTGGAAGGCACCTAAGTCTGTATTTGAGATTACGAGCTTCCTAGGATTAGTTGGTTACTATAGGTAGTTTATAAAGAATTTTTCTAGATTAGCTTTGCCTTTAACTAAGTTGACTAGGAAGAACCAACCTTTTGTATAGGACTAAGTGTGAGGAGAGCTTTTAGGAGCTTAAAAGGAGACTAACTAGTGCACTTATTTTAGTATTACTTGACCTTAGTGAGACCTTGTAGTGTATTGTGATGCCTCTAAGATGAATTTATGAGGAGTACTTATGGAGAAAGGGAATGCATCTAGGCAGTTGAAAATCCATGAACAAAACTACCCTACCCATGACCTAGAGTTAGTTGTCATAGTCTTTATGTTGAAGTTTTCAGGAAAAAAAAAAGATCAAAGGGAGTAATGAAAACCAACCTAGAGACCCCAGGATACTCTCATTCAAATCGTTTCCAGCTAAGTTCAGGATCTCCAGAGATCTCAGTTTTGACATATCTATCAATATACATACCGATTAAAAATATACTAATATATATTTTTCGACCAAAAGCAATATATCGAAGATTTCTAATATGGAAAAATGGCATACTAAAAACTGATCTCGGAGTCAATTGACTATGTCCTAAATTTAAGGACTTTAGGGACGAAACCCCACTAAGAGCAGATGCAATATCACTGTCATTGAAGTTGTTGTGGGACAAGTCAAGGACCTCAAGATTCCTCAATCTTGAGCATAAACCTGCAAGGTATAGTGTTACATTTCAGTTATATTTAGCATCTGTTAGCTATATTAATAATGATATGGAAAAATTATCCTACCTTGAACATGAACATCTGAGTCCAAATGACTTGCAGCCAAATACAGTTCCTTCAATGATGTGAATCCCTCAAGAGATGGCAGGATGTCATTAGTCAAATAATTACCACTTATGTCCAGGACCTCCAGATAACGCAACTTTGATGACAGAGATTCCAAAACTTATAGGCATAATCATGTATTAGTGCAAGGTTGCGAAAAATGGAAGCAAAAATTGAAAGAGCTCACATCATCATAAATATTAATATTATTGTTGCATGTTGTTCAAAATAAAATATGACAAACATATCTAGCTATATAGCCTCACCGTGGATTGAAGATACATTGAACCTGTTATATGTTAAATATAGAGATTTTAGAGATGAAAGTTCATCCAAACAAGAAAGAATGCTGGCAGCATTATCTATATGATTATCACTCAAGTCAAGGACTTCCAAATTTTCCAAACCTGCAAAGTATATGTGTAATTAATTAAAGTGGAAATAATGATCATGCCATATATGTAACAGATTCATTTTCACTAAGTATTCAATGATCATGACATAAAATTTTTGTACAATGGAGAATAACCTTCATTATTGCCTGCACAACCAATTATCCCATTATGTGACAAGTTGAGACTCTTCAAATCTTTGAAGACAATAAAATCCGTGTAGTTTAGATACCGATTAACATTTTTCCACGTGTCTTCATAAAGATTGAGTTTGGCCACTCTCCTTGTGGAGGAGTTGCACTCAACTCCTTCCCACTGACAACAATCTGTGCCATACCACTTCAAAGACAAAGGGAAGCCAAAATGGGAATTTAGGTCCCAAAGAGCTTCTCTCTCTTCCTTCCAACACCCTTCACTGCACATTGCCTCCAGTAAAAGAAAAATGAACAAAACCATGCCTACGTTCTTCATTTTCCTCTAAATATTTTGTAACAAAGGATTTGGCCGATTAAATAAGAATGCACCAACTAACTAGTTTGTGGTTCAAGGCCAATCGGCCATGTTTTAGTCAAACTTGGTGGTAGATGGGTTTTCTGTTCTATTGTTTTTCTCAACACTTACGAAAAGCATCTCTGTAGTGGAGGTAGTGAAAATTGCATATAGAGTACGTTATGATGATGATCTGTTATAATCTCATTTTCTAAGCCCCATATTGCACCAATTATTCATATCACTTGTCCAATATTGTTGGCTATTATTACTTGTTTGCATTATGAACCAGCCACTAGTAACGTCAAATAGAGGAAGTGTTGGACAAGGACTCTTATTTTATTTGCGGTCCAACCAGATATAAATAAATAAAAACCACTGTGGAAACCCGTGTTTGATCCGTGCAAAAATTCGTTAAACCAGCAATAGTTATTGTAATGCAAGTCAGATTAGTCTCCTAACTAGTAGTTTGAGGATACCGGTGACGAAAAAAAATTTAAAAATAAATGAAGACGACCTGACATGTCACTTAGCGTTAACCCGAAGGCCATAACCAAGAAAATCTCTAAAGAGGGATCTATGTTAGACATCTTTGAGTCTCGAGTTGCTTTCAAGGGAAGAAAAAATATGCTTACTGGTAGTATATGATAGTTGTCAAGGGAATAGTTGATGGAATAATAGAAACTTATTTGTATTTAGAGAGTAGTACGTAATAGTGGTAGTAATTATTATTGTTACAATGAAGTCCTAATTTGCCTATTTATAGGCATGGTCCTCCATCTCTAGATGATCGTGAAAATATCTAGAATTTTCTAAACTCTTCAAGTCTCTACACTCTTTTAATTTTTTCTATAAACTTGTACATCTTATCTTATGTTTCTAGAATTTTATTTTTCTTTATACATCTTATCTTATGCTTCTAGAATTTTCTTTTTCTTTTCTAGAATTCGCATCATAATTTAACACTCCTCCTTGATGCAAATTTCGATAACTCCAAGCATAGTTCTTAGTTGTTCAAACTTTGTTCTTGGTAGTGCCTTTGTAAATATGTCTGCAACTTGATCTTCTGTTGAGCAATATTCAAGTTGAATTTGCTTAGTTGTCTCTGCTTCTCTAATGAAGTGATGTGTTTCGTTCTTTGATGATGAACTAGATTCTTTGCCATTACTATTATTGCTGATTTGTTGTCACAGTATATAATAGTCGGTCCATCTTGTTGTTCACTCATTTCTTCAAGTATTCTCCGTAGCCATATTGCTTGACTTGTAGTGTTAACAACTGCTATATACTCTACTTCTGCTGTTGATTGTGCAATTGTTGCTTGCTTCTTTGACGCCCAAGAGAAAAATCCAGATCCTAGTGAGAAGGCATATCCTAATATACTCTTCATGTCATCTATTAATCCTGTCCAATCACTGTCGGTATAGCCAATCATCCTTGATTTGGTCATAGTTTTATACCATATACCAAACTCCCTTGTGCCTTGTAGATATCTCAATATTCTTTTTCTTGTTCCATAGTGAATTTGACATGGCTTTTGCATGAATCTTGATAAAAGACTTGTGACATACATAATGCCTGGTCTTGTGGCTGTGAGATATAGAAAACTTCTGACTAGACTCCTGTATCGGGATGCATCAGCTTCTGGTGCTCCATCCTCCTTTTGTAGTTTCTCATTCGTCACTAGCGGTGTACTCTATACCGAGGAAGTAACTCATCAAGCCAAGATTAGTCATCTCAAAGGTCTTCATCATGTCTTCTTTAAACTCCATCATCATCTTTGTATTGGTTCCAGTATAAATAAAATCATCTACATATAGAGAGAGTAAGAGAGTATGCTGACCTTGAGTCTTGATGTATAATATAGGCTCACTCTTACTCTTCCTGAATCTATGATTAGTGAAGTACTGGTCGATCTTGCTATACCATGCTCGTGGAGCTTGCTTCAAGCCATATAAAGCTTTCTTCAATCTCAACACTTTGCCTTCATGGCCTTTCATCACAAATCCTGGTGGTTGCTCTACATAGATCTCTTCTTCAAGTACACCATTGAGGAATGTAGACTTAACATCTAGTTGGTAGATGATCCATCCTTTTTGTGCTGTAAGAGCTATTAGAGCTCTTATTGTGTCTAGGCGTGCTACTGGAGCAAATGCCTCATTGTAGTCCACTCTTGGTTGTTGTGAGTAGCCCTTAGCGACAAACCTTGCTTTGTGGCTTTGTATAGTTCCATCAAGATTAAGCTTTGTTTTATATACCCATTTTACTCTAATGATATCTTTTTCAATAAGGGCAGTCTACGAGCTCCTATGTATTATTCTTCTCAATCATTTTAATCTCTTCTTCATAGCCTTGACCCATACTTCTTGGTTTTCTGCCTCTTCAAAGCTTCCTGGTTCAAGTATGGCCAAGTTGCAAGTTTCATGTATATCTACCAGTGATCTAACTCGTCTCGGAGTAGACTCAAGTGATGATTCTACTTGTTGTGGAACTATTCTTGGAGATTCTGGAGAGATAACAATGTCTTGATTGTTGTCTTCCAGACTTGATGTAGTTGGTTGATTAACGGGCATGTATATAGTATTCTTCTCAATTTGCTCTTCTTCCCATTTCTAAGTAGCATTTTCATCTACTTTAACATCTCTACTGATTCTTAGCTTCTTTGTCTAAAGATTGTAGACTCGGTAGCCTTTTGATTGTGAACTGTATCCCAAGAATATGTCTCGTACGGTCTTGTCTTCTAACTTATGCCTTTTTTCATCTGGCACATGAATATAGCAAATAGATCCCAAGACCCTTAGGTGCTTAGCTGATGGCTTCTTCCCACTCCAAGCTTCTATTAGAGTCTTCTCCTGAACTGCCTTAGTAGGACATCTGTTGAGTAGGTAGACTGCAGTGTAAACTACTTCAGCCCAGAATGTATTTGGAAGTCCTTTCTCCTTCAACATCGATCTCGCCATCTCTATGACTGTGCGATTCTTTCTCTCTCACACACCATTTTGTGCGGAGTATATGCAACTGTAAGTTGTCGCTCTATGCCTTCATCTTCGCAAAATTTGTCAAATTCGCAAGATGTATACTGTTTTCCACGATCACTTCTAAGTACTTTTATTTGTTTTCCACTTTGCTTTTCAGCAAGGAACTTAATTTCCGACCCGGACAATTTTAGGGGTCTACAAGCATTATCTGTTTGGATCTAGGTTTGGGTGTTTAGCGACCATAAGAACCATAAGTACCTTTTTGACCAAAAAGCTTAACATGAGACAAAGAAGATGGTTAGAATTTCTTAAGGACTATGATTTTGAGCTTAATTATCACCCCAGTAAGGCCAGCATGGTGGTTGATGCCTTGAGTAGAAAATCCCTTTAGGTGTTTACTTTGATGGTTAAAGAGCTTTACTTGTTAGAAGAGTTTAGAAACTTTAGTTTGACTTGTGATTTAACTCTTAGAAGTACTAGATTGGGAACCTGGAGAGTGAAAAAAAGCTGATAGATGAGATTAGACAGGTCCAGAAGGTAGACCTTTTTGTTAAGTCAAGTAAAGAAGTTAAATCAAGGGAAAGATAATGAGTTTAGAACGGGTGTTGATGAAGTGTTGAGACTTAAGGATAGGTTGTGTGTTCCTTGTGTACCCGAGCTTAAGAAGATTATCCTTGAGAAAAGTCATAAGAGTGGTTATGGAAATCTGATCCCCAAGGATTCCTTTGGAAGAGGAAAGATCAAGAAGGAGAGCTCACACTTGAAGACCATTGGGCCTTTAACTAGGTCCATGATTAGGAGGCTAGAGGCGACTTCTGTAGAGGAGGTGTTTCTTAGACCTATGCTCAATATGAGTATTGAGTATGACTCCTCTTTTTAGTCTCATAGTCTCTATTGTACATACCTTGTATAGTTTGAGTTCTTGTACCTTGTATATAGTAGATACATGATTTTAGGGTATGTTGTTTGGAGACTTTTGCTCCATTTGACCTTGTATTATAAAGGTCATTGATTTTCATATTTTTAGTAGTAAAAGTGGGGTGACAAATAGTAAAGTGTGTAGGTGAAGCTAGCAATTGGGCCTGTAGTGGGCCTAGGCTAATTTTTACATATTGGGTTTGTTTTACTCCATTTAATCCAAAGAATTGATTTAGCTAGGTCTCACCCTCATTAGGTGAACCTAACTAAACCAATTCCAACATTTTTGGATTGGATTAAGTGAAGGAAAACAAGATGGCTGCGTAGCTCTTCTAATTTCTCACACACACTTGGTTAGCTTGTGCTACAAGCTTCTAGCTTGGTTTGCTCCACAAGCTTTGAAGCTTAGCTTGTTCCACAAACTTCGAAGTTACTAGATCGGTTAGCTTGAGCGTAAGAAGGCTAACCATGGTTCTCCTTGAACCATAGTTAGCCTAACTTGTGCCACAAGCCACTTTCTCACTATATAAGTCTTTTTCTTCACTTTGTAAACACTTTTGATGCATCTATTGGGTGAATTCCAAAATTTCCTCTGATTTTTCTCTCTTCCAAAAGTCTCAAACCTCTTTAATTTTAATCCAATTCTCTTATCTTCTTCATAAAAGATTGTGGCGAGTTTTGAAGTGGCTAATCTTCCTCCAAGGAGTGGCGCCATTTGAGAGTGTTCTTCACCTTCTAAGGTGAACCTTGGAGCTTCTACCTCCATTGTAAGCTTCAAAAAATCTTAAGGAGAATCAAGGAGTCGAAGATCTAGGGAGGAACTTGGAGAAGACACCAACACAAATCCAGTTCTTCTACAAGTTTTCCATCAAGTGGCCTTAGTATCCACGTAGGAGCCATTAAGATGTATCAAGACCTTAAGAAGATGTTTTGGTGGTCTAGGATGAAGAGGGAGGTAGAAGAGTTTGTCTATGCTTGTCTAGAGTGCCAAAAGTCTAAGGTAGAACACTAGAAACCTTCAAGAAATTTGTAGTCGTTGGACATACCTATGTGGAAGTGGGATAGTATCTCCATGGACTTTGTAGTTAGGTTACCTATAAATGCAAATTATCTAGACTCCATTTCGGTTATAGTGGATAGATT